GGGTGAAATTTTAAGATAATGGCAATTTTGAGTAAAACCAAAACGTTAACCCATTCTCAATGTTTTGGGGTGAAATTTTCATCAAATGGTAATTTGATAGAAGTCAATAAGATCAATTTTTTGGGTGAAATCTTCTGTAAATTGGCATGTTTTGGGGAATCATGAGCCCCTGTCAATTTTCGAGGAAGTAATCTGGTTTGTTGGGTTGTGTGCTTTGCTGTGGAAGAACTGGATTAAATCACTGAGGAAGGACACACGAGTTTGAACAGCGCGGGCTGTAACATCTGGCCAATTACCACTTCCTGGCATGCTCGCTATGTCCATAGCCAGAGTGCAGGGCATGCTTGCTACGCACCACCTGTTTTGCAACCATAAGCCCCCTTTGTACCCCATGATCATCGCCGCAATTGTTGGTAATCTGTATCCCTAAAACGGTGTGTACTGCAGCATAGAAGGTTGAATATTCATGCCATCGTTGGTGCTTGGTATGACCTGACAATATCAAATTTAATGCTTGTATGTGCAGTTGCTTTTATCAGGCTGTGTACCCAAATGTGTTCATATCGAACGCTTTCTTCTGGACTTCTTTTGGGAATAAATAGCCAAGCTGATTGTAAGATTTTGAGTTTTTTTTAATCATTTTTATTGTGGAATTTACACAAAAAGGTATTTTATGAGACCTCATGATCACTCCCTGTGATGAAACAGCACATTTTGTTTTTTGTGAACTTAACTGTCCTGTGGTGTTCGACATGTTGTTGGTCAGTCTTAGCCAAACACGTACAAAGACGTTGAAAACTGATGTTTTGGAGTGACAAAATAAAATTAAAAACAAATACATGGATAATGGAAACAGGCATCAAAATCCTTAAAAATATATTCCAAACGACCAAAGTAAATCTAATGTTAGATATTTTTCTTTCTGTTTCTGGTCACGGGCCCCACTTGTCCGGCTAAGCTGCAAGCAGTAATTAGGCATTTTTGGAATGTTTACTATTGTTCATCTGACCCGGCGGCGATGATCATCGAGCACTTTGATGTATCAGAGTTGTAACTCCTTCTGTGTCCTTCCTCCATGATTAAAGGTACACGTAGATATCACTGTCTTTTCAGACATTTCCTTCTTTTAAACTGTAGTTTTCAATGATTTTTTGCTCCAAAATAGTACTGAAGAAGCAGTAAGAAAAATTTGACTAGACAAGCTTGACTTTCACAACTACCATGACCCTAACCCTCCTCAATCCTTCACCTGTTGGAGGACTGAGGAGTGTTAGGGTTAAGCTATGACACAAAAATAAAACTCAAAATATAAAATGAATTAAACTGAAACAAAAATCTCAGATATCCTGACTCAAATTTTAGGAGTTCCACATGTCAAGTTAACACAAACCTTTATTCATAAAAAGGAAAAGAATGAGTTCTGTTCTGATTCATAATATCCAACAGTCTGATATCAATTAACATCTTTATACTTATTTGCAATAAATTTGGATAAAGGATTTGCCATTTAGAGTTCGTCAGGATTGAAGAAAAAAATTGTAGAGGAGAAAAGGAAGAACATAAACCACCCTCATATTTTTTCATGGCTATTGCTGATGTAGAGTTCCAACAGGGAGCACACGTCTTCTGAACGAATGTCAACAATGTACAATGCCACAAACACAAGAGCCGCTGAAAGCCATTATTACCAGAAAAAATAACTGAACAAAAAACCAGAGAACCAGAGAAACTCAAGAACGCAAGTCCTTAGTATCTGCTGTACGAATAATTAACTTCCTGCTTCAGCTGAATATCAGTCAAGTTGTTACCCTTGTACAACATGACCTGCACTTCAAGTACCTGCTTATCCTCCAAAGAAAATTGACAACAACTGAGGAATTAACGCAGTCTTTACATTCATGTTAACTTGTGTAAGAATAGTTCATTCATACCTACAACCAATAAAGTGTTGTTGACAAAACTGAATGAGATAATCGGTCAATTTTACAACTGAACAGTCTCTGTGAATAGAATCTGTAAATTTTTATCAGCAATTCACAATTTTAACAATGCCTTGTTACATCACAATATGTACAAAACAGGAATTTCCAAACTTTTTTCAGCCCATGCACTTTTAGCTACAAATCATAAACTTGACTTTTAATTAATGATAACATGTGATACTGTTGAAGAGTGTTAACTCTCATATGAAGACTGGTTCTACACCTTCCTTTCTATAACGTAAACATGTACGATACAACCAGGAGCCTGACTGATCGTATCCATACCTGCCAACCTGTCGTACTCCTTCCTGAGGTCAGGCATTACCATATAATATATTAGAATTTTTAATGAAATGTGCGCTCATTTTAAATACCTTTTAATCTATTGTGTGGTAATGCTTGACCTCAGGAAGGAGTACGATTGGTTGGCAGGTGTGCATATCTGTCCTTGCCTTCCCAGGTAAGTGAACCTGTCACCTGGGCCTGTTTTCATGGGTCTGCCAAGCACACAATTTTATGCTAACAGAGACTCAATAAGCTCAATCAGCAATAATGTACCCTTTCCTCAGATGAAAAATATGCTTGCTGTACATTAGTGATAAAACAAAGGAAATTTCTACCAGGCAAAGCCATGAAACAGTGCTTATGGTTTAAGTAAAGTTTCCTGCTATAGTAAGCATGGCTTTTTGCTAACTGTTACATGCAGCTCTGTGAGATTGGGCCCAGTCAAGGACTTTTAAACCTTCCTTCCCAAATGGTGTCATCTCAAATACATATTCATGGCTTATGCATCCCACAACCCTTCCCTAAACATGATACAAAATCTCTGCTTCTATATACACATCCTGTGAGAGTTACGATTGTTATTAGAACATCCAAGAACACTGCCTAAGTTAATCAGTGTCAACAATCCAATCATCTTGGCAACCAGTGGTATTTTTTTCTTTACTTCTTTCTCCCACCTGATGAGTTGGCCAAGATCATAGCAATCCGGATAAAGATGTTGATTGTGTCCATGTAGATTCCCATTGCCCTGGAAACAAAACAAAACAAAGTTTGGATTGTTCTCATGGGACAACTGTTCTCTTCCTGAAACCCACGATGTTGACCAATAACACCTACGTTCAACGAAGAACAAAGGTGAGCTTTGAAGCTTTCATGGTGAAGGTGGCAAATTCTGTAATGGGTATGCACTCCCAACATGCAAGGATATCTCTTTTGCGAGTATGTGTGGTTCTGAATGATCAAAGGAGACACCATAACTAGGGTGGCATTGCATTAATATGCACGTGTTCTTAATCTTTGGCAAGCACCCTATTGGTCTAAGAGGCATGTAATGCCCACACACCACTTGCCCACAATCGTCATGCCACCACAGTAATGGCCTCTAAATGTACTTGCTGAATTACACTACGGCAGGATTGGACTTCACGAAGACATACACAGTCATTGCCACATGACACAGTAAGAAGTCTTTTGACTTGCATTTATTCAAGGTTTATTCTGCATCCTCATAAATGTGCTTACGCGTTGACTGGATCAAACGATCTCTGAGACATGATGGGATGCGTTTCAGCTCGTTTGATGATCAGCTGGGTGTCATACAGTAAGAAGCCGCCAAAGAGAATTAATCCTCCATAGGTGCTGATGGCGTACAAGCCCGAGCCTAAGGCAGTTGTTGGTGCAAAGAACATTCCACCTGCAAAGGGAACACAGAACATAATCAGGTCCTCCTTGAGTCTAGGCACACACCACCCTCAATAACACTTAGGAAAAACCATGGGCCTCAAACTGGACCAAGAGAGGGCGCCATTTGCTTAATAAACAGAGACTCCTTTGGTGAGCTTCTGCTCAGGGCGGATAGGGACATAAACAATGCACTCAAAAGCTGGAGTATGGTACTGGAACTCAGTCATTACAAGATGGCAGCATACCGGAACTAGAAAGGTGCTGGTTCTTGACCTCTTTTTTGGACATGGATTGAGGACAGTTAAGAGCTAGAACTCAGCAACAAAAGACGGCAAATTTTCCTCCAATTAAATTATCTAGGCCAAGATATCTTTATAAAAGTTACAGACAATGCAGGGGTTGATTAGAGGACTTAGAGGAATATTCAGTGTATTTGGAAGGTGTGAATGTGAAACTGCACATGTGTGCAGTGTCAGTGATGCACCTGCTAGACCTGTGAGACATTCACACCTCTATTAATGAAGTGAACGCTAATTCCATTCATGTTATGACAGTGTGAATGCTGATTTCATAGGTGTTTGTTTAAGGAGTGGGGAAGATATATTTCAAGTGTTTTTTAATACAAAATTAATCTATAGGCTGTGTGCTGGGAAGCTGACTCAAGAAATATCATCCTTGAAAGTTCATTGACTTTTGACATTCTCACAAAGTCTTTTAACAATGGGATGTTTGCAGAAATGGATTTTCCTCAAATACATAGTCCTTGAAAAGTTGATAAAACCTACATGTAGATGTTCTGAGAATCCGTCAAGAAGATAAGAAAGGAGGTTGTTTACTCACCAATGGATGCTGCTATGACCATTCCAAGCCCCATTGCTAGCGGACCACCAATGTACAAAAACTTCTCACTGGGTGCACAAGCGGCCACACAAGACAAACCTAAAAAGATTCAGGAAATTGAGTCATGAATCACACATGTAGATGCCTCATCAAGGGCTCTTTGTACATCTATGCACCTATTTTTGAGATAAATGTATTTTGAAAGATTTGCATGGCACTGAAGCAACTGAAAAAATTCCTGTGAGCCTGTTTTCGTATGTATGCCATCACGTCTTTGCACCATGTGGTTGGCAGTAGGAGCAAAAAACAAGCATGTATCGCAGTATTCCATATTCTAGTTGGATGCATTTCTTCTTTAAACCAGGGATGAGATTATGAGGTTTAAGAGTATCTGAAACCGCATTGTGAAAAGTCTGAAGGTGCATTTCTTCCTAGACACCGATAAGGGTTTCTATCAGATTCAAAATGTCTGAATTCAGACAAAAGTCTGAAAGATCCGATACCTATTAAACCAGGTTTACTTGGGCCAGCAATACCATTAAGTACATGTAAATGGCAATAACTTCAATGACTCTGTTCTTCATTTATAGCTACATAAATAACCATTTGCCATAAATGGAAACCCAATTTGCAATGCTAATAACACCATCTGTTGAAGTCTCACTGCCTGAAAATTGATGGTACATGATAATGACCATCAAATAACTGCTGTGCACATCAGAACTCCCGCAATGTCCTGAGACTAAGATAAATTCCTTTAATTCGGAGACAAAATCTGTCTCCTAAAAGAAAGTACGTATTCCATAATGGACATTTTTTAAGTGGACTAGAGATCCATTGCCCTGGGGAATCTTTTAATGGCATAATTGGATTCAGCAGAAGGAAATACCATTTTAAAACTTTTAAAAGAAACTCTACCATTTATACTTCTGGGATTACAAGCGGCATCCATAACAAGACATAAATGGAAGGAAAAAGACAGCATTAAAAATCATTTTTTTGAAAATCAATACTTAACATACAAAAAATTGGGTGACATGGTACAAAGTTTGTTAAAAAAAATTCAATAACATCTGTGATCAGAAAAATGGGGGAGCAAATTGATCCCAGCCCACTCGGAGAAATGTCCCCTTTTTAGGAGACACTCTGTCTTTAAGGAGACTGATTTTGCCTTCAAATAAAGGGCTTCTCTGAGTTTAAGGACAGGACCCGAGCTCTGATGTACATGTATGCCCCTACTGTCAAGAAAAAAGTGCTCTTTAACTCTTCATGTTAACCATAACACAAAAGCCCCTTGTTCCTTGTTAGAATTAGGGACTGTTAGGGTGACAAATATGTTCAACTCTTTCAGACTAGCTGGCCTGTGTCTGACAAGTGAAAACATACACTCAGCATGTTGAACACGTACATGTAAGCTCTGGGCAGTTCCGTTTTCCAAAAGGCCAAGGTCTTTCGGGAACAAAGCACATGTGAGTCAGCGAATAACCTCACTGATATGACAACCTATCACGTGCGTGTGTAGCTGTCCCCGATTAGCCTCGTACTGAACATGAACTGTTGGAATACTGAACTGACTCATTGCTTCAGGACATCATATTCACATTTCAAGTATAACCCGGGCATCAAACTCAGAAATCTAGGCTATGTACACAAACCTCCAACAATTCCAGCTGTGTACCAGGCAGCCCTGACCAGCAACTGTCCTCCAAGCAGTGTCATCGGGGCTAATACTGCCCCCAAGAGGCCACTGTGAGCCAACCAGGCCAGCTGTTTACCTCCCAGAATGCCCTCAGTATATGGCACAGACATACAGATGAAGCCTGAACACATGACCACACCCATCATGCCAAGGGCACCCTTTAGATAGAAACACAGAAGTGAATAGAAATCATAGGGGTTAAGAATTAGGTCATATTAATAAAAGTTGTAAAGAAAATATGCTTGAGTGAACACCAAAGAGACAATTTCAAGAGTAACTCAATCTGTGCACAAATAAGGAATCATTAGTTGCCTCCATTCTCCTGAGCCAGTCTTCAACGCACGTTTAAGACAAGCCAAGCATATATTTATTCCCTTATTAGTCAACAGTGTTAAAAATGCATACAACCCCAGACTGGTGGAGTAAGGGGTTATGGGAGGCTAACCCCCTCCTCCCCTTCAACTTTTCTCTTTTGTTGAAACAAGGTAAAGAGGTAAAAGAAGTCAACAGCTACACTGTATGTTTTTCATCTTTCAACAACCTTATTTGGTTTTGCAATGCCTAGGCTGTAGCAATGTTGAGAGTAAACTAAACACTACATTTGGAATCAGCGTCTTTTTGGTGAATACTGCCGGCAATGTTGTAAGCTTCATTGCAGCAATCAATTGCTTGAGTTGACTCCTGTCATTCTAAACACGATTAATATTTAAATTGATGTCACTGCACTTTGTTACTCTGCCAAGAAATAACACAAATCCAAGTCATTGCTGCACATGTAGCTGAGACTATCACAAGATCTGACACAAACCAGTCACAAGACCAGACCTAAGGCCAGACCCAACACTAGTCACAAGACTAATCCATCTCAGTTGAAGTTCACCCTCCCTGGCGACAGAGTTAGCTTTCAAACCATTTGACACAAGGTTTGTGGTTGGCAGAAGTTCTGGCCTCATCTCTGTAAATAAAGGCTTTGAGGTAAGATAAGCAAAAGCTCCTGCCTTGTTTTTTGGCTTTGCCTCTGCAATGCCCATACATGTATGTACCTCCCTAATGCCAACAATTTACTTTGATTGAGGACTCTTATAGGGTTTTCTCCACAGCCACACTTAGCCTGGCCTTTGCCCCTTCCGATAGGGGACACAACTCCTCTGTTCAAGATACTCTACTGAAATCCATGACCACTTTTGAACAAATATGACTCTGGCCATTACCTATTCTCATCCTCTGAACTGTCCTGCAGTTCTGCATCCTGTATCCAAGTATTTTATCCATCAGTTGGCAATGTCAATGACCTCCGAAAGGACTAACCACAGAATAATCAAGGGCCTACCATCAACTACTCCAAACAGTGCAAGACAAATGGCAAATCAAATGATAGCAAATGGGCATCCGTTTGTTTATCAGGATTTTCACAGTATATTTACATGTACCAGCATTCTCTTGACATTTATTGAAGTGTACAGTGGTGCCCTGCTTAATATGCTGTAGCTAAGTACTGAAGATTCAAGTCACACAAAGAACATTTACTTGAGGCAAATATTCAAGTATTTGATGAAGGTTCCGATTGAGTGACAGACACACGTACACAGCAAAAGGCCCGGAGCATCACTTGAAGATGATAAATGTTATATCCATGTATCTATTAACCCTACAGTCCTCAACAGAAATACACTGTTAGGGGAGTGAGGACTGTTAGGTTTATTACCAACATCTGAAGACCTTTTAGGACAGGAACCTCCATTGAAGCCTCTGACATTTAGGGACCCATGGGGACATTCTGGGAACATCTCAAAATCCTACAAAGCCTCCTTGTATTCAATCTTTTGGTCGGCAAGACAGTATTAATTTTAATACTGTAATACTGCAGGTATGGTATCTGACAGTGAGATGACACGATTAGGTTCAAACAAGCCAAATATGACAGTAAAACATGAAGACATGCATAGATATCCACACACAACTGTATAACATGCCAGTTGATTTCAGGTAATGAGATTGGGGTCAGTTGTGGACGGTTTCTGATACTTTATGCTGTTGGGTATGACATGCCAGTTGATTTCAGGTAATGAGATTGGGGTCAATTGTGGATGGTTTCTGATACTTTATACTGTTAGGTATGACATGCCAGTTGATTTCAGGTAATGAGATTGGGGTCAGTTGTGGATAGTTTCTGATACTTAATGCTGTTAGGTCAAGCAAAACCATGAAGTATGAACCCTATAATTCCGTAACTCCAGCAACTAACAGAAGTAAGGTTCTTCAACCTTACAACATGTACAATCATTTTGTTGTGGCAATTTATGCCAGATCTCATGCTACATACATGTGCATGTTTTTATAAATAAAAACCATATGTGACCGGCTCTAGGAAAATGGATAATAGGTTGCCAGATTCAGGTTATGAGTTTTTGATATGGCTGGATTCTGTACATCAAAAGCTACAATTTGATGTATGAATGACCCTTGGAGTGTGCTGCGTTCCGGAGATATATAGACATTTGTATATCCACATTTTCGAATTCAATGAGAGCACTTTTTCGAGAAAAAGTTCACAAAGTGTAGCGCTTGGAAACACAATGCAATGTAGGATTTCCTACTGAATGATCAATTTTTTTATCCTTTTTTATAAGTATCCATGTTTGTAGTCAAAAATTCTAAAAACATAAACATTAAAGAAAATATGAAAGGAAAAAATACAAAATCATGTTTGTGAAGAAAGTTTGCCCTCTCCAAATAGAACAGACCATTACAAGTTTGGGCATTGCACAACTTATTATCCTTTTTGGCAGAGTGTTTTTATTTTATTTTTGAAAGGAGGTAATTTCTCAGAACAATTGGGGTCTAATCTTTGGTCTTGAGTTATGTTAGAAGTGCGGTTGTTTTAAGTGATTTAAGCATTGATAAGATCAGAATGGTATGCATCCCTGGAGGTTTTTGTAGACTGTGAAATCTTATCATGATACAGATAATGGTTAATTATCGCTCTAGGGCCCATATACGAAGATGACATCTAGGAAAATTCTAGGTCTCTGATTAGATACATGTACTTATCCCGGGCTCACCAGCTGGGGCACCTGGTAAATTAAGTGGTGAAAACTTCCAGTTGACGTCAGGAAAATTATTACACCGAGATGAATGATTTTAAGGCTTGATGTACCAGTGTATCATCCCAATATGATTTGTTTTCCTGTTGAGACTAGAGAATAAGGGATAAAAGGATTAAGGAATTTGATTTGCTCCAAGCAAGCCATGTTGAAACTGACCATGAAGGAAGTTTGCTGAAAGTTGATACACAGTGACACCAAGCATATGCTGGGCATGTACATTAACACACTCAAGACTCCGTTACATCCGTGCTGAATATCCATCATCAGAGGAAATGAAAACAAGATATGCAACCATGAAGGGCGTGTCTTGGTTGTGTACTTCACTGGTTTGTATCCCTGCATTCAACTCTCAGGCAGGACCAGGAACCAGCTTCAATATAATTTGTTCCTGCCTTTTTCTGCAGGCTACTTTCTTGCAAGAACAACTGTGATGAACACATATAATGCATACATGTATGTCCTAACCAACTGCATATACTTTCAACTGTATTAAAAAGGCAGCCATTGTATGTAAAAGCAATTAAAACCGAACATCTGGATCATAAGTTGCACCTACATGTATAATTGCCAAATGACCAATATCGCTGTGGAACTCATATAATCCTGAACTATTGGCCAAAAAAAGTATATATAGATCTGCAAAAACATGGTTTTGGTTAGAATTTACAGGCAAATGAGTCACACAGCCCACCTACCAGTGTTATTATAAAGGTCATTGCGCAATGGTCTTTATGACAAAAGTTACGACGTATTCCTGACTACCAGTACAACGTATACATAATGGTACCTGTTTAACATATACAGGTATGTATAGGTACAAAATCACATCCATGTAGGAGGCATTTGTCTGTTACATGTACATATACATGTAGGTGACAATTTAGACAAATTATTGTCAAAACTGGAACACTTATGTTGAAGAGTTTCATTACTTGCTTGTAATTTTCATGCAAATTAATTTAAATTTACTTCTGGATTCACAAATTTGTTGCAGGGGTAAATTCTTTGAGATTTTTGTATCATTTTCCTGGATTTTACTGAAAGTTTAAAATAAAAAAATAAGTTTGTATCTTTATTCTCAGATGTAAATTGTACTTTTAATCCACCAAAAGGTTGCTTTAATATGATTTTTGTTTAATTCTCCTGCTTTAAATTAATTATCCTGTTTGAAAAGAAAATTTAACATTTACACATTAATGTTTATATTTTTAGGTCCTTGAATATATTTTAGATCCAATAAGAAGGTAAATTTAACAAGATTTCCACAATTCTGCTTTTCCAAGAATCCATGGCTTAATGGGTGCTAGAGTGTATCACAAACTGTGCATCTGTATGTGACAAGGACATGTAATCACTTCTCTTAGTTCTATTACTCCAAAAGTACACGTAGACTTGCAATGTGGAAAGCTTCTTTTGCTAATCTGCATTCACTTTTATCATGGTTTAGTATTAGTGCGCAACATGGGCAATGGTTTGAGGCATACGCTGATGACATTTGTACATAGGGAACGTGTATGTATTTCATTGCTAAAGAAGTTGGTGACAAGGCTGACCTTTCATGACTTGATCAGAGGGAAAACCAGTGCATGTTTGTCGGCAGGTGCTCACTTAATCTTTGACAAGAGAGATCATACATGTAAGTTATCAATAATCTGGAACCATCTGAGTGAAAACACAATGGCCTTTCTGCTTCACAGGTGCAGAGTATCTTCTACAGGTGAACAGAAAATAAAAAAAAAATAATGACAGATTTAGCTCCAAGGGTAAACTATAAAAGATTGACCAAAAGAAAATGAAATGGGAAAACATAGGCCTACGTGATGAGAATACTAATTGTTACTTCCTTTCATGAAATTACCAAATTAAATTTAGAAAGATGCACTTTCTGGTGTCTGGTACACACTTCCTGATATATTGTTCCCATTCCGAGAACTGCAATGACGCTTGAATGTTTGATAGTTGGCTTCTTTGGTTCAATGGTTTAAATGTCAGTACAGCACAATTAATGCACAATGATTGTACTACAACCATTTTAAAATAGCTGTGGAGAGAACCTAAAGACCTAGCCAAAACATGATATGAACTGGCGGTACCTAACACCTTCTTCCAAATTCAAGCCAAACTTTTATGAAAAATGCATGACTTTTGAAATCACAAATATTTGGCAGAATCTCCAAATAAACCTCTGGTGTCTTTCCCATAATATACTTACACAGCAATTTACAATGGATTATGTACCAAGGCAAACCGATTTATGTCTGATCGCAGGTGTTTAATTGCGATGTTTCAGCATCACATGACTGCATAGAAACAGGTATCGGGTTCAATAAAACCTAAAACATAGCACTAATTCTAAAATGAAAACTAATTATAGATTATTGGTCTATGCATTTTAATTGCAATGATGCTTGTGCTACACTACATTTGACCATATGGAAACAGACATGAAACTCTAAATCCGAGCCCTAGTCCTACATATGAAACAATATACACTTAACTACATTGAAGAGTTTATTGAAACCATGCACATGTACATGTAAGTTGGGATAAACTCAAACAATGGGCCTAAATTATACACCAATCTCCTCTACTCCATGTACAAAGAGAAGTAGAACTACATAATTACATGCACTTTGCAATCTCTTACAGTACATATCATTCAATGTTTCATATACATGTACCAGTACACATGTGGTATGTACATTTACTTAACAGTTGGCAGAAACAAGTGGACTTCAACTGTAGTACTTTCTCTTCGTTTCTTGAACCAATCTCATTTTCATGTGTATACATGTACATGAAATTTTCACTTTTTCAAAGACTTAGATTTAGGGCACTTTAAACTGTTTCTGTAGAAAGCATTATCACTAATACTCAAAACTGTGACCATGCTATGACTGAAGCAGCATATTGAAGTGCCGTGGAATGCCATTCATTTCCAAATTTCATTGAAATCTGAATTTGATGATTTTGTTTTACTGGTCATCCAAGCAACCAGAATGTATCATAGTGTACATGTGGATTGATGAATACCGCACACAGAGAACCAGTGAACACAAAACACCTACGGAAGGAAATGTATTTAATGCTGTCATTGTAAATGTACCTTTGTATCCTATCTAACCTTATTTTGTATGACTTTTGTGACTGTAGGGTCTTTAGAGACTTGAAGTGAAGCAGAAATTCAAACAAAATGAGTTCCCAAGTTCATGTCATGGGCTCTTTTAAATCCATTTTCTTCTGCCATGTTGTTGTACCTGAGTACAGTATTAAGATTTCTATTTCCATTGAGTGTACATGTATGGTACAGTATAAGATGTCAGCACTTTGCAGTGTAAGGCTGTCGTTTGTTTAGCAATATTAAGATGGGTATTGTGATATTAAGCATGGACTGTATTATTGAGATCACGACATAGTATACAATAAACGATGTCATAAAAATACAGATACGAGCCGTGGGCACACACATACTCAACTTCATGTACAAGTTGTCCATTGTGTTATGGGAACTTGAGCTTTATACATTTTCCCCGTTTTTCATTTGTGTTCTTGTCTGGAAGAAGCAGCCACTGTTTTTATTCACTTAAGAAGTACCTCAGAGTTCCCAATGGATAGCGTGTTTGTCTCGTGTTTGCATCATACCCCATTATCACGGCACAAAGTTTTGTACATGTGAAGCTACCCTGGTACATCTTGGGAGTCTGGCCTGATCAATAAATTCATGAATTTTGACACCTCTCCTACAAACTATACATCATGTCACATCAAACTGCGTGCAGTGTATATGTAATGCTGACTTCTGAGAATATCATGCTAAGTTTGAAGTTTTCCACATTCACTGGAATCTGTTACTGTACCACAGTGCGCGCAGAATGCATTGTAAGACAGTTTAACCTACCAACCACGATTTGGGCATCATCTTTGCCATAATTGCTGGATTCCTGGAGATTGCCAAGGCTGAGGCAGCAGTTGATGCAATACCAACGCCAAAGTAGGAATAGGTAGCTTGAACTCTCTCTTGCACATATCTTGGCCACATGCTGTCAATTGTAATACAAACCCAAACTACTGTTATTGTGAATTAATTTCACATTTTTATACTTTACAACAAAAAACCAACCATATTGTGCCCCGTACCTTATTTTTATTTACGTGAATGTTGATGTACCTACACGTACAAAATGCTTTCATCAACTGACCTGCTTTGAATTTTCAGCAATACTTGTACATGTATTTCTTTTAGTTTCAGCAAATGGAGCAGTCTAGCTTGACACAGGGACTTTAAGTACAGTATTTATCACTAAGATCATTATTTAAATGATTCTCATTCCTTACTCTGATGGAGCCTGGGAGTAAAGTACAATGGTCTACAATTACTGAAGTCCTATCAAGGCTCTTTTAAGTCCAGTAGATGTTACCTGTACATATGTAAATTCTTATATTAGCCTCATGAGGAATTACATCCTAGGTCATAAAAACCAGGATGCAAGAACTTTTTATTAGAGACTCTTAGGCATATCAGAGAACAAGAAGAGCAGTGGGATGTTTCTCTTCTTTTGGTTTTGTCTAGACATGAAAGTTTTGGTGTTTGTTTCTCAGAAACTTTGGGTGGATCCATTCCAGGAATTCCTTTTTGCTCTTAATTTGTAACCGTACGTTCTTGTTCATGTGGCTTGGGTATATTTACCAGCACAGGTCTATTTGCGGGGGGGGTTCCTCCAAATTCAGGCAGAATTTTCAGTTAAATCTAAAATTCGAATAGCATGAAATTGAAACTGCCTACTGTGCAGAAACACATAGATCACACAGCTTTGTTGCATCCTGTTTTTAGGAAGCAACTGGATCATTAATTTCAATTAATCTTTTTAATATCCCTACTTCCATTTATTCTTTTTGTAAATATTTATTTGTGTTTTTAGGAAGCAACTGGATCATTAATTTTAATTAATCTTTTTAATATCCCTACTTCCATTTATTCTTTTTGTAAATATTTATTTTGTCCTTCAAAAATCAGCTGCCCAAAAGTCTTGTGCGGCCAGGCAAGTTAGCCATTGGTTTCAGATTTTTGTCTTCAAACCCAAAGTTTTACTGGCAGGACCTTTCAATCTAGGATTTCAAAACAGTATCATGCTTGAGTAAACCACACAAATGTCTGAGAACAAATAACTGTATATCCACTTGTAAGAATAACATTGACATTCCAGTTTGCTATCAGCAGACTTCAAATGGCCCAGGACTTCAGGATAGTCCTGAGCCCATGTATTAATCCTTCAACTCCCATTAATTCATATGAAATTAAAAGATTGATGTGACAAACTTAGGTGCCTTAAGTAAATTACACTTGCAATATGCACACAGGTACCTGCATCAAATTGCATTAACCTCCACTTGAACCCTTTGAGATTGTGCAGAGGAGAATTATAAAGTGGCTTATGCAGGATTGGGATGGACAGCTAGGTTTACATGTATGGTAAGGCTCTTGCCTTACTATTTAAATGGAACCTGATCGTCCTCTTAAAGTTCAAGTGGCTGTATATATATGTCTTCTGAGTGACCTCTGTAAGCAAGTGTGTCTGAACTGGCCATGTTGAGTGATAGCAGCATTAAGCCTATCTACTCCCTGGGGAGCCAAGATGGTCAGTAGCTCTAGGATGGATGAACACAGGTAATCAAAGCTTACCATCTTGAGTGCTCCTCATGGCAAATGATGACACTTTTAAAATTAATATACTGTACATGTATTGCTTGCTACAGCATTGGCTATTTGAGTCCTTCAACTTTCCTCCTTGGGTTGAGTTACTGAGATTGTATGAAGGTAGGCCTTTCCTTGTAAGGGAAATGTCAGAGAACTGCATTGTGTGGACATAACTTTGTTCTCATGATGTTTCTGGTCCCGATTACGTACATGTATGTAGGTTGACATGAGCATAGTCCTCTTAACCTTAACAAATATGAGTGGCTTTATGCTGATAAAGTGCACAGGAAATGAAGTCCTGATATTCAAGTCCAGCTGTATCAAGTCTCATATACCGCTTTGCTTTCTACAATAGCATCTCACCAACCAGATGTACACACCTGGCATATCAAAGTGTGGAAGGTTTGCGGTAACCATGGAAGTGAAAGCTCTTTTGTGAAGTTTGAGGTTTAGAGAACTGTCGTTTAATTTCAAATAATTACTGTTAGCAGTACACACAGCTTGACATGAATCAAATGAGAATAAACCCTGTCAGCTAATAATGCAAACCAACTTCACAGAGATACTAATCAGAGATCTCTTCTGTTAGAAAAACACATGATTAGAAAATCATACAGGTTACCAGCCAATCTGCCGTAGTTTATTACTAGTCACTGGTAATGGTTCTCTGCTTGTAATTATTGAACACAAACATCAGTTAAGGCAATGTTTCCTGCTGAGTAGCTTAACAAAAGTGGATTAGGTTTTCAAAGGTTTACTCGATAGGTACACGAACATCTAATAACACAGATAAAGAACTTTGAATTTAGTAACCACAGTCTACTCTCAGTAAAAGTTTACTGAATACAGCTCAGAATGAAAAAGAAAACTTATCCAGTCAACCTCAACAATGGCAGATTGTACATACATGTATATACTGTACCTTCAAATCACTGATTCAACCTGGTAACCACGTAACCAATGTACATGTACTTATCAAGTTACATGTAATAAGAAGAGAACCTTGTAAGCAAGGGTCTAATGACCCAATCAACCTTGCTATTAACTAATAAACCATTCCTTCTCATCAAATAGCAAGGTTGTTCAATAAAGCACAGCAAGTATTCTCACAGCACAGGAGTCACTTATTACAGCTGGTGTGTTTTACTATATGCATACAAATATTTACTTGCAAATGTACCACATTGTTAAGCCTTGAAATAGAGGAAATTTTCACTGCAATGCCGGATAATTCATTTGCACTGCACTCGAAGATTAATTCACTCTGCACTAAGACCAGACATCATGCATTGCATTTTATTTCTTTCTTTAGAGAATGACCCGCTGAGCTGTTAGACACAGGCGGTCCCTTGGGAGGAACGATTAAATACAATGGTCTCTGACATCCATACTGTAATCATGTTTCATTCTTGTGCCATCTTGGTTTATTATTTGCCAAGTACCAGGGCAAGTATTATCTGGTGGCTCATCAACTCAAGAACACCAGGAGTGAAAAGGATTCAGTGGGGGTAGTTCCTGCATCATTATTAGATTTACATGTAAGTAAAGAATCAACACCAAGACCAGATTGGTCATCCTTTTTGGAATGCAGGTCACTCACTGGAAGGTGTTAGTGCCTGACACATTGGTGACAGAGTCATTCTTGTGAGAATTTACGTCGCTGAGATGTGACCCCGTTCACGGTAAGGGCATAACAAGATTTTTTTTTTAAATACTATGCTAGCCAGATAGCTGCAAATTGAAGTCTTTGAACCAGGAAATTAAGTATCAATCAACAAACACACTCATCCAATTTGAGAAAAACAATACTGGCACCCAACTCTATATGTACATGTACATGTAGATCAAAATACTCAATTTTGAAAAAAACCTTCTTACACATACCTGTACAAACCATAACAGCAGTGGTACCACACATGAACTTTTATATGTTCTTCATACAAGGACTTACTCGATAAGCATGTTCCTTTTTGCGAGCATTATTTACACATATATGTACATTTTGTTGAAGAGAGGAACATTGAATGCATACACATCAACTTTACATAAGGGTGGTACAGGTCACGGTTACATGTATGGCAACAGTAACCACTTCTATTTCTGGTTGACAAGTTATGTACATCTACATGTGCATGCACATGCAGATGTACATTTCCTAAATAAAATACAGCAATCACAGTAAGCCTTTTACGTGAACAAGGTTTGAGGTAAGAAATGGAGGGGGGTGTTTTTAGGTCAACCATTTAATCCTGATACCAGTATTTACTTCAAGGTTCGTGATTTACAAAATTACATGTGACTGGAAAAACAATTTCAATGCCTACTTTCCAACTGACAGCTAATTGGATGTCCACTTGATCAATCGGTTTGAAATTTAACAGGACTTCTAATTGAATCATAATTTGGCTGGTACTTACGCTGCTCGTTCTAATGCCCCCACATCTTTAGACAAGCCAAGGCCGTAGTAGCACAGAGCACCGATCCCAACAGCTGCCGCACCTGCTAAAGCCCCCCGCCCTATACTAATAGCTACACATAGGAGAGAAAAAAAAAACCAAGAGTGATTTAAGATCATTTGATCTCCTCATACAGTACAAAGTGAGGTAATAAAGATAGTTGTTCCATAAAAGAAGGTCACAAGCTTCAAATTGACCTAATCATCTGCAAGTAGAAAGACGCTTGGTATGCATCACTGCTGATTAAAAATCAATCAAGCATCAGGTCATTATCAACTGCATTTACATGTACACGTAAAACATCTTCATACAGGTGGAAGGCTTACTGAAAGCTATTGTGAATACGGAACAGCATGGCCAAGATTGTCAACTGTGTAAGATAAATGGGCAGAGTGGTCTGTGAGAAAAGGCAGGTAATTTGAATACCGGTACATGTAACGTAAGGTGTACATGTATGTGGCCCATCATTAAGCAGTTGTCACAAATCACAAGAACCACTGCATAGTTTTAGCCAAAACAATAAGGTCAGTTTGCTCATTGTAATGCAGTGTTTATGAACCACTGTTCATCAGCCAAATCCCCCATCCATGCAAAACCCTCATATGCTACAGATAAATATGCGTAATAGCATGGATGTACATTATGTTCACACATGTAAACAATCAGTAATACATATGCATGAGTAGTGTTGCATATTCTAACGTTTAGAGATACACCAAGAATGCACACACGGCTGATTGTCCAGAGGAAGATCGTTGTTCAAATATTCCATGACAAATTTCCTTTTTGTTGGCATGGACAGCCCTTAGTTTCATTGTTAAATGTGCACAGATGAGTAGTAAAAGAGTTTCCTGCAAACTATACAAAATATTGAATGCAATGGGTTCCCATGAAACTGTTTACACTGAGTGTGGGCAAACATGAGCAAATTTTCAAAGATATTTTAAAAACCGAGGTACCGGTATAACATTCAGACCAATTAGCGGTCTCATTAAACATGACTGGTATGGTTGAACACTTGCTTGTTGTGCCTTAACCACTTCTTGCCGGGGACTCTGGCCCCTATTGAAAAGAGGTCAGAAGTGCACTGAGCCAGGTTCGTGAATAAAAGAAAGTTACATAACACCGCACAATCTGGGCTCTTTTTACAAGGTTGCAGGCCTGGGTGAAATACTCGGGCGTCAATGAAGGTCACCTGTCAACTTAGAGTAGTGCCTAAAGATTACTTCATGTGGCTATAAACGACCGTTAAATGAAATGATGAATTTTTGAAGGATTTTGAAAACGGAAAAAATCACAGTCATGCCGGCCCAGCATCATCATCATTGAAAAATGCCCCGGCATGAAGTGGTTAATGTACTGGTAATGTGGAAAGCAAGAAACATGATGGTTGGAATATTCTGATGTCAGATATTCTGAGTCATATTACTTTCTATCAATACTTTTTGGTAACCACTCAAATACGTTAATGTACCCATCTACCTGAGCCATCAGCAGGTGCAACAGCCATTTCCTTCAGGGTCTTAGTCTTAGTAGCTCTCTTGGCTGCAATTCTGCTCTGGCTAGCATATCCCTTGCTTGGAACCACAATGCTTAACCTTGGTTTCAAGCAAATTGCCATGCCCCTGGCAGAAGAGGCAGACACACATGCTGTTATGGGTAGCTTGATGAGGAGTCTAGACCCAAACATGCCACCTGTATAGCTTTATGGCCAGCAGCAGGACTGTAGGATGCCAAAGTCTGTGAAGCAAAGTCAATTTACAAAATTGAAATTCATTATTAGTACCAGTAACTACCGCTACCAAGGCCACAGACTTGTATACATGTACATGTAAATCTATCATCAGGTAACATGCAGCGGGCACTGGTACATGTGCATGTACTGTATGGTACAGGTGTAGTTTGTCATACTCTAAGTCCATGTGGCATGCTGTTGCATTGGCTATCGCAAACACAAAGCCATAACAATCATGAAGATGATTAAACATTCTTCCTTGGACAGTGACTACATGTACATGTAATGTGTCCAAGAAGCAAGAAAACTGTCTGGAAATGTACTACAACCCGGAATAATATCAGAATACTGCAAAACTCAGAATGCACCTCTTGGAATCACTGGCTATGAGGTGGAATCGAGTACTGTACATGAACATGTATGGTCTCTGAATGTGGCTAAATGTACGGTACATGGTTATAGGGTAATGCTACGGGATTGTACATGTCTAGGCTACAGACTTGATGTACAATTTGGCACTTTTGAGAACAAAGGAATGCAAAGTAACAAATGGGAGTTGTTTGGTAAAAAGTTACATGTAAGTCTGACCTGGACTACCCTGAAGCTGCAAGTTATGGGGGACAGTGAGTGACGACGATGGATATCCTACATGTCCTACAACATTTGGTGCACTACAACATACTTAAAAACGTTAAACGTTATTTTTGTGGGAAACTACGTAGAGTTCACTCACTTGTTACAATAAATTACTCGCACTAATTCATTATTTTGAATTACTGGTCTGCAGCTGCGGCTGGGTTATCAGAACATGCATAATTTCTAGCCATAGCTACTAATTTTGGACAGGGCAGCAAGTACATGTACATGGGAGTGATGTCACATTTCAGACATTCAGATTACAATGTAGGGTGTAGTATACGGTAGTACAATGTAATTGGTTGTTGAGGATTAGTACAAGTAATTTGCAATGACGAATAGGTCTAAGATTAAGTAATTTGTAATTAGTAATTCAAAACAACAAATTTGTAATTCAAAATAAGGAATTTGCAATTCATAAAAAGAAATTACCTTCTCCCTGAAATTTTTAATTTTAAACTGACATGATCAGGCTTTTGTATGACTAAGCATAGTATTGCATAGAGGAAAAAAACACCTTCCTCCCAGGATCTGTCAAGCCTGTTAGAATTCAGTATCTACATGTACATATAGGCCAAAGTATTTGCTTGTGCTTGCTATGAGCACGGTGAGGTTGAAAGACAGCAAACTGAATTTTAAATAGGACAAGGCCAGGCATGTCTGGGGGTAACATGCATCACGTGTATGAACTCCAGAATACCCAGGCATGCCATGACCTATGGGTAGAGAGGCTCTGTGGAAAGGAAAAAGGAACAAACATTTCCTCTTTTCCTTATACCACTGCAAAAATAACTCATGCGGTGTCAGCAATAACGCTTGTACCGTAGGGCCCTGTTTACGGGTACATATACATGTAGATCGTGTATGTAACATACTATGTTTGCATGTTCATCGTCGTCGTAACGTGTTCATGTTACATGTATTCAACTTACAGACTTAATGTAAAGAGACCTTCGGAAGCCTTTGCTACAGTCAGACAGTATTTTTCTGTCTGTGGCCTACCTCCAAGCACAGGATGTTCCTAAAAAAAGTCCTCTGCAAAACGGTTCTCTTTCATCCACACGTAAGTTCTTAACTTCTAATTAATTATGTGATTACATCAGCAATTGCGTGTGCAGAAGGAGGAATTGCACAGGCTACACTTCAATTGCGATGTGAGCAGTCGTACTAGTCTGGTTCCCCTTTCGAACATTCTTTCACAGATAGTTGGTTTGCGCTGCTTGAGACCACCAGACTAACAGAGTCCAGATTCAACTGGCTGCGGCCGTTATATACATGTACGTGTATGGGAAATGGCTGAGTAGGTAGACAATGGCTTCCATAGGAGCACATGTTATTGCAAGTCGTAGCCATAACTATCACATGGCACATTTGTTTCCAATCACTGCTCGCTCAGTCTTGATCTTCACTGCCATCAGTGCTGGTTGAAATTAATCGGTTACTGGAGCAGTCTGACCAGCACGGCTTTTGAGTACAAATGGATGTAAGCAATCCGGTCCCCGAGCTTAAGTTGCCACTAAATTCAGGCTTTTCAGTGAGATATATCAACAAGTAGTAACGAATGTATAACTAATATAAACATTTAATCAACTTAGAAAAAAGTTGATTAAATCTGCTTGTCCTGAAGAAGGTACTCAATTACCGAAAGCTCGCAATCACATATTTCAGAGCACTGATTTGATATTACGTTCTCGTCGATATTCTGATCATGGTGCTACGCAGCCCTGGCATATTTCTAGAACAAAGTTTATCCGGTTCGTAAGTGATATCGTCACAAAGGCAGACGTGCCACGATTTGCAGGTGCTCATTGGACGATCTCTGAAGTGCACGTTAACTTCCGGTTCCGTGGTTCCGTGTAAGCGGCGATCAGTGCATGTAACTCCGTGTGCAGGTGCATGTGATGTCACAGTAAGACTATTTACTTCTTGTTCGCGAGAGGAAAAAAATCAGACAAAACCAAATTAAAGTAATGAAATTGTTCTTCTACAGACTACCCGGTTCGTAAGTGTGACGTCACTTAACTTTAAACCACGCCCACTGCATATGCACTGTACATACGGTGTGTTCGATTAGCTTCCCTGAATACACTAATGTTACACTCAAAGGTAGCCTCGAAATGAGGCTAATCGAACGTTGGAGCGTATTCGCCAAGACATTCTGGGTAAAAGGTCAAGTCCCCGCCGCGTTCATAATAGTCCATCCACGACGTCATTACACTCAGGCAGCCTCCAGAGACCTACTCGCCAGCCGGGGTTGTGGTAAATTAATCGAACGCACCCATAGAGTTGCATTGATCGCCGTATGGAACCATGGAACCGGAAGTTAACGACCAACTTCAGCAATCGTCCAGTGGGAGCCTGCCAATCGTTGAACGTCCGCGTGTATGACTAAAACAATTACGAACTGGATAGGCCTACTGCTCTGTATCCTGGTCTGGAACTTCTTGAGCTTGTCTCGCAATCACCTACATATTGCAAAACTTGTTGTGCTGACCACGTAGTTTTATTCCACGTCAAATGAATTGAACCGTAACTAATATCCGATATATTACAGACATAGTTGGATGATTTGTTAATTTCTGTCATTTCGATTGAGATGAATGTTTCCGTATCCTCTTCTATAATCTCAGAGATATGCTAGAAGCGCAATGCATTCTGGGAGCGTCAAAACTTGACCTACAGCTTCGCCTTAGTATTCACCCAACTCCACGACATTATGCACGCGATCACAAAGAACAAAAAAAAAAAAAAAAAAAACAAGCGTCCACACCCACTTTTCGCGCGGTAGTATACAAATACAGCATGGTTTGAGGGGAAGTAGTGGGAATTACTGGTCTCGAGGTGTAGGTTAGCTTGACCCGAAGTTTTGGTTACTTGGACTCATCTCCACACACCTGTCATTGCTATCACATTACACCGGTCAAATTAAGTCACAGCTCTGAATTTCACACACCTACATACGTAATATCAGATAATTGATAATTGGTACCGTCCATTTACCATATTCATAATCTATCAAATCATCATCACTCGCCAGAACAGATTTCAAGCAACAACATGCAAGAAGAGAGATAATGGGTTGGGGGTTTTTCCGATGTCGCAATCTAAATGACTTGTCCAAGAAACAAAAATATCTTTCATCATGCGTCTGAAAGATGCGGGCAAGTTTTTGTGTAGCTGGATAACATCTTGAGGTTGATAACACGACCACCGGACGAAAAGACCTTGGGGCGGGCGAAAGTGATATATCATGCACGACATGTCTGTGTCTGCATATAAAAACCACCTGCAATGTTTTCGAATTGCCAGACGAGGGGTTACAAAGCTGACAGCTCGATGGTCTAGAGTCAACATTACGGCCAACCTCTGATACTGTTAACGACAGCAGCGGTATGTAGGCGCCCTGAAGCCAGTCTAACTTGAAACTTATCCACAGCGCGTATTTGAAACATCCTCCGGCCTGTTATTGCACACTATGGCGGGGTACGTCGTAATCGGCGCTTATCTTTGCGCTGTCATTGTCACTGGTTTCATTGGCAACCTCATTGTCATTGCAGCCTTCTGTAAATTCAAGAAGCTCCGGACGGCCAATAATTGTCTCATCATGAATCTGTCCGGGAGTGATTTAGCCATGGCTATAGTAGGTACTCCCATGTCTTGCTCTAGTAGCTTTGCGGGGAAGTGGCTCTATGGCGCAGCTGGGTGTACCTATTACGGATTTATCAACTACTACTGTGGTTGTATCTCACTGAACACCTTTGTGGTCATAGCCATGTATAGGTATGTTGTGATCCTGAAACATCGACCGAACCGAAGAATAAGTATCAAAACCATACTGAAAGTCATCGTTGCGGTGCATGCAATAACTTTGATCTGCACCATGCCTCCACTGTTTGGCTGGAATGAGTTTATTCTTGAAGGATTCAAGACGCAGTGTGACATTAACTATCGCAAAAAATCGCCTCTTTTTGTGTCCTACATTGCCTTCATGTTTATAGTTTTGTTCACCACTCCACTCAGTGTCATTGTTTATTGTTACTGGCGAATCTTCACTTTCCTCCGGAAGCGAACTGTAGAGCAGATGTCCCAGTCCGTGTCCCTTCAGCTTCGGAGCTCCGCTCGGACCATGGAGAAACGCACCACGGTCATGATGCTCGTTTGCCTATGTTTTTTCCTGTCAGCCTGGACTCCTTACTGTATCGTCTCACTCTGGAGCGTATTTGGGGACCACCGAGATATTACTCCTGCCGTTTCAGCTGCTCCTGCTCTGGTGGCGAAGTCCTGTATCGTTTTTAATCCCATCATCTACGGATTGATGAGCCCACAGTTTAGGCGATCGTTCCAGGTAAGACAGTGATCGAAACGTTCAAAGTCATACTGTTGAACTAAAGAAACTAAAATGGCATTTGCGCTTGAAGTAAATCACGTGATATTAATTGAAATGATGGTAACCTTACATTTAAACTGATTAAGCAGACAACTGATGGGCATGAATACCACTCCCTACCAAAGAAAAATGGATGTGCATATTTCACTTTGTGTTGTTTTGTATCTGTTCTAAACTTAAAGTAAAAATATCGCTAAATCATACTTTTATCAAAAAAAGTTTCTTGAGAAAAAACCATAGAGGATAGGCGCTAGGATTCTTAGAGTTACTGGCTCAAGCCCGCAAAAATGAAGAGAGACCGGTAACTTAATTAACATAATGTGAGATGCCGGTGCATATCTTGTGAAATTTGACTCCCTTGATATTATTCGGTATTTTGTTAAAAATGTGGACTCCCAACCTCTGTGATTGTCGTCTGCGTTTTATTCATCAATCATGCTGGCCAATTCACTTGTACAGTCATTGATTGTTTCTGGCAGTAAGTCATGATATATTGTTAATTTGATTGTGCCGTGTCTTGTAAACAGCGTCAGATCATTTTAAATAACATTCTATCCATCCACTCCTATTTTTCATGATACACTCTAAAAACTGGAGCGTCGAATTCCCTTTTTACATGTGATCGGTGATTGACTACTCTTTTGAAAGTATTGAATCTAATATTTTAAATGTAGACTACAGCATATGAAATACAATTTCAAGGGAAAAAGGTTCAATTAATATTTAAATTGTTGAATTCACGTACTCTATATACTTATTGGATTTGTTATTTAAAATGTTTTATTACGAAATTTTAAACGCTAGTTTCCAGGTGTGGATAAAGGGGGGTTGGGGTTGGGTCAACCCCTCCCTGACACCAAACTGAATAAATAAATAAATAAATAAATGAAATTACAATAATACAAAAAGATTACATCCTGCTACCTATACAAATTTAGTGCATCTGCAACAATGCAATACATCTACGTCTGCCTGTCCACACCAATGGAACATAAACAAAATCTCACGAGCCTGACTCTCCTCCCCCCCCCAAAAAAAACTGCCCGTATCCGTCCCTGGATTCAACACTTTTAAAAGCGGTCACTGGCCGCACTTATGTTATAAGTGAGAAGTCAACAGTCAACACCTTTATCGTGTAGGCAAATGAAAAAATGAACTTAACTAAACTCAAAACTTTTTTCTCTAAAATTGTGTGCGTTTTGTGAAATTGACAGGAGAAAAATCAAAGTTTAAATTTTTGACCTTTAAGTATTGAGCTTCTACGAGCCTTGCTTGAGATGTGTTCATCATCTTTTTAGAACATCTCATGTATGGTATGCTATGGTATGTCCTTGTGTCTCATGCATCCAATCAGGAATCAAATTGCTTCATGATTCTACGCTCTTATGAATTGTATCTTTATTCATTAACTCGGTGCAAATCTAAGTGCCATTTAATTTACCGCTCATGCTTAGACGGTTGTATTCACTTTTGGCAAATACATATTGGGCAATGTAAAATTACCACCGTGTCGGGTGTTACCAGAAATTGTTTCTGCAAGCTAAGTCGACTAACACCTTGGACATAATTGTTACAAAAAGTTCTGGAGCGATTCTGGAGGGCAGATGCAGATGCTATTTGAAATCATTGGAAATATGCTTTTGTGTTAAAATTACTATAAATAGATGGGACACACCTTGAATGCTATTTGGAACATGGTCAAAAAGAGCAGAGGTATCAAGGATAAATTATCGATCCATAATAAGTTTAAAGTCCATCGATAACAACAGCTGGAGGGTGTTTAATTTTTGATGTAGTGACTGCGGCCTTTTACTACGAATGGACCTTCTTCGTTGATGAGTTCTGTGACACAAAACAGGCTGATCGACACAGACCTTTACACCTAAGAAGATTTCCTCTAAATATTTACGACACCATCCTGTTGATCATTAAACGTAGGAATCGTATTACTTATAGGTCAAAAGTCACATATATAGTTGGTAAACTTCACACGCACGGGTACCTAATTTCAATCTGATGGTACCGAAGTTCAACCTAATAGAGTTAGTTTACAGTGAATAATTCTACTTATGAAGTAGCACGGTAAAGGTTTGCCTCACAAAGACAACATTTTGCGTTTTCAACGATTGCACTTAATATGCAATTTCTTTTCAAGACGTTAAAAGTTAATGTATGTAACGGAGTTTTAACAACTCTAAAGAATGCTTGGCTGGTGACGGTGTGAGTCCTTTGTACATGTACATGTGGGGTACAGAGTACCGAAGTGTGACGTCATTTTGAACCAGAAAGTTTAGTCAGTGCAAACGAAGAGGGTTGCTTCACGAGCTGGTTCTTACGCTAATGCCTTGATTATCATGTGTTTGACGTATTAATTTCCGATACTCTAATGCCGTGAACCAACCTCTTGGCGGTATTAAGTCTGCAATTTTATGGTCCACTGGCACCCTATTGCTACAGCTGTGTGAAATTCTGAAAAGGTACCCTTTATTGCATTTTTTCCATTTATAACAAATGCAGACGTACGAGTGCTAATGAGAGTAGATATTCACCAGATATGATACAGATGTTTGAGTGGAAGGTTATGCCAACAACCGTAGGATGACCTTACAAAGTGGCAAAAATAATGTGGACACAGCATTAGAAAAAAAAAGCAATAGCTCGATTGCCTTTAGTGGAAAAAAGTCACCGTCTGTGAGTGTGTTAAATGCTGGAGGAGATTCGTTTTTCCTGGATGAAGACAGAATTCTTCTCAGATATATTAAAAGATACTTCTGACTGGAAGAGGCGCAGTGATATCTCTTGTAGATTTTTTTCCCTGTGCTACGGTTAAACGAGCGTGCTGCGGCGCCAAGTCTTGATAACATGATAGGCTTCTAGCAACCCCCTGACCATGACACGAATATCAATGACTATGTTTGCACTTCGGTCAAGCCAACGCATGACTCTGAAGGTAGTGTGAAATAGTGGAAATCCGTCATTAGTGAGAATTAAGCTTAACTATTAATGACATTGACAGTTATAGGTTTCGTGCTGCACGACAGAGCAGGATTGCATAATTTGTTTCGATATCACTTTCGATGAGTATATTCTTCTATCCAAGAATTTTCCTCACAAAATTATTCTTACAATGTATTCTCAATGACTGACTGTAACCAAAACGGCCTATCGAGAAAAAAAAAGCCAGTCTGAAGTCAAAGCGCTCGATAATGCACGGTAATCCTTTAGCATGAAATACACGAAAGTATCAAGAACGAAAACAAAACTAACGAAGCAAAGAAGGACAGCAAATTAAGCAGGCTCGCAAGCTGCAGTGGTGTCGGAGGTCGACCCCCCCCCGGCGCGCTGATGAGTTCTACTTGTTGTATACCAGGCAAGATGGGATGGAGGGGTACCTACCCCCTTACCTGTCCAATCCCTATACACACTCTAGACTATTGTTACCTAACACATCCCCCCTAAAGGTCTGTTAAGAATTCCTGAGATTCCGCTTAAACAATGACCGTCCCATATCTTGCTTCAAATAACTTGTTTTGCACTTTTGCGTTGGTGTCAAATTAAGAATGATAAGGTACAGTCGTGCTGGGTCCAAAGTGTACATAATACTTGACAAGCTGTCCTCTATGGATGAATCTAATAGGCCAATGTGGATAACTAAGCACTTTAAGATACAAAGGCGTCTTGTGGAAATGGATCCAGGTTTTGGATACTGCTTGAGTGGGGTATTTTATTCTTGGGAATGACTGCGTCGTTCTGTTGACGGTATATGTGTGAAAATAATTTACACTGTACGGCTTGGATGGGGTTTTACTTTCGTCAATTTCTGAAAAAAAAACGAAACCAAGAAAAACAATACGGGGAGAATCAACATACAAAAATGACAAAACTTATTAGTGGTCAATAATAATTCATGCATTAACAAAGCACAAAATTAATTATACAATGGTGTCCAAATGAACTATACAATAAGAAATTAAACTACAACGTGGTGGGCTGGAGGTACGTAATGATAAAAGGTGCCTCAGGCAGTGACCCACATCTGCTCATGGAGCACTGCCAGAAATTTAATTGTCGATGTTGAATAATCAGATCTGGGCAGAATTTATTCAGTATTCCCCAAATCTGCTTAAAAATAGCTTCTGCCTCATAACACGTCCTCAGTGACCTCAAAACAGACCAGATTCCCCGCCCTGTTTTGTCGCATAATGCTCGCATCAACAAGAGTCTTCCATTTAGGAAGTATCCAGCGCAAAATTGAAAATACCAGAGGTCAACACTGGCCTTAAAGCGGCCACGAGTATAAAAGGTCAATCAATCACTCAAGCATGCGTATCAGTGCATTACATTCCTTGCCATTGAGTTGCGCCCTCTATAGTGGTGCGAATTAGCTGTGGGACTTCTTCATATTCCACTCACAGCTCCAGTAACACCCAACAACACAATGGGGAGGACATTCGCAGAGAACAAGTCAGGTATAACTGATTATGAGCGTACGCAGTTCGCAGGGACCCTGGGATTTTCTCACCGTCAAGTCATTGAAAATCAATCAGCTCATGTATCCGAAGCAAATTGACACCTCAGTTTCACCTGTACTGTACATTACGGTCAACCCAACACAAGTGACACAGACCGCAGCACTGCTCTTTGGCACAATTTCACCGCCCCCTCCCCCAAAGGGGGAGATTGGGATTGTTGTGAAGCAACAGCTTATTGCCCCAACTTGAGTTTTGCATCTCCCGAGAATGCTTGTGAATTCTCCTCCCCCCAGTTCTCTGAAAGCAATGAGCATACAACCCTTCATGAGATTATTACGTGTAGTTAAGTCGAAGATAAAGACGATGTGAAATTTACATCATCTAATGCAATGGTCATTCGAACATCGGCTTTCTTTTCCGGCTGTTCATTCGCTGGGCACATGTAATCTTATCATATAAATAGAGGGCGCTAATACATAATAAATACAGAGCTGTTTA